CCGCTGTCTCCTGGGAGTCCTGTGAAGGTGACAGGGACTGTCTAGATATCAGGTAGGTATCCCTGTCCTGCTGCAACTGTTGTATACTCTCATGAAAGCTGTTTCTAAGGGAGGTAATTCGACGATCAAGCTCATCCATCTCGCGTTCAATACGGGCTGTTATCGTCGCAAAGTTGTCCTGTATTGCTCGGTACCCTTGGCCATTGTTATTATCACCAGAACTTGTATGTTCTGAAGTCTCTGATTGGTCGTTATTATTATTATCACTATGAGTTTGTAACACAGAATTTGATTGGCTACTGTCCTGATTTGTTGCCACGTAACTATCACCTTGTGTTTGCAACACAGCATTTCCATCAACGTTCTGACTGGTGAGCCGGTCACCAGTGCTAGAATCTTGCGGTAAACTACTGTCACTTAGTCTTTGTAACAAGGGATTCAATTGGCTAGGTGGTATATGGATTCCTTGTTGTGCCTGGCTAGCCAAATGGAGTAGAGAACTTAGCCTATTTTGCTGACTGGATGGTTGACTCTCGGCTGCTGGAACTTGTACTGGGGAGCTGCTGGTCTCTGTGCTTGTCTGAGAACTTGCTACATGTGTGCTAATAGGATTCTGAGAAGTGGCAACACCTACACCTTGACGCCGAGCTGGTCCATAGCTATGTACCTGTACCCTGGAGGGGTTCAGGTTTCTATAGCGCTGCCTGTAAGTGTGAGATGGCTGTGAAAATGCACTTCTAGCGTGGCTGAACCTTCGCCCTGCAAATGGCTCCCATCGGCCATATGTAAGTTGGGACCTGTTGAAGTTACCACACACCTGGCAGTCCCTGTTATCACAGTCAGAGGCATGCTGGCCCAATCCATTTGTACCACTGTGGGAATCTGTCCTCAGCACTGGGGTTGATTGTAGGGTAGGGGGTTCACGTGACCCTGGAAGTCCTCTGTGGGTTGCCACACTTCTATTGCTATCTGCTAATCTGGTAGACAACACACTTGACATGCTTGTTGTGGCTTCTCGATTGGTGGCCATGCGGACATTCATCGCACCAGTTTCATTGTTGCGCTCCATTGCCACCAGGTTTGAGCTGGAATTCTCCCCAACACTACTCCCGGTACAGTTCCTACACCTATCGATCAACCCCGGGTTTACAGTGGTGGCAGTGGTGGATCGGACGTTGTGACCACTGTCCAGTACAGTCACTGGCCGTACCTCCCCTCGCCTTGATCTAAATCTGCTACGATCAGGTGCACTTCGGCCCAAGACATCTGCCCTTTGAGCCAGAGCTGAAACTCTGCGACTCAAATCGAATGACCTCTGATGTAGGTCAGATGACCTATGATTCAGGTTAATCTGTCCTAAATCAACTGGCCTCTGTACCCTATCCTCTTCCTCCTCCTCTTCTTCCTCAATGATAATGTCTCCAACCTCATCAGCCTGAGAGGCCCCTCTGGGGGGTGGACTCCAAGCAAATGGACGAGGGGCCATAAAAGGGGGCACACTGTCATTGATAAAGGGAACACTATCACTGTCAGGATTTGGTTCTGTTTCTGATGGATTTCGTTCATGCTCAGATCCAGTTGGCAGCATGGTTGCCTCAGTAACGCGAGCAGCATACTGCCTGGCGAAGTTCAGGCCCTCCTCATGGACAGGTGACCTTGACCTTTCTCTTGAAGCACTGCTCTCCTGTGCATCAGTATACTCTGTAACAAAAGTATGATATAGCCATAGTAAAACTTACAATTCTTTGTGACAAAAGGACATGAAAAAATATATAAGAATGCACTTTGTTTCCAAATGATTGAATCGAATCAATGGATAAATGTTAAATTGATAGTTTTTATTTTGTATATATTTTTGAATGAATAAAATACAGAAGTTATGAAAATTCAAGCCATGTTGTCTACACTGTGCACAGGATTTGTGATAAATTGTTTTTAAAGAAGTCGTCCTAAAAATGAAAAACAAATATGATACAAAAACACCTTTTAAAATATCCCCTATCTGCAACTCTCACTTGGTTGACGTTTATATCATTATGGGTGGACCTGATATGCAAATCAGGTCCCTGAAAATCTATTTGAAATCCCTCTGGTTCATGATAGCTTGGGATAAGTTAACATACATTAATTATATATAGGTCATGCTTTTATATCTAATCCCTTACACATTTTGTAGTACCTGAGGTACTGTGTGTACTGTGTACCGGGAACTTTTGCCAAGTCAAATTTTTGCCCTTCACCAATAAAATCCCTATTTACCTAGTCTTAATTTTGCGATTCACATTTAATTACTATGTGTATATTAAATTGTTAAATTGTTAACTCATTCACCCCTAAAGACACATTTGAACTCTTCTTATTCAAAGGATGGAATAGTTCATTATGAAATTTCAGGGGTGAATAAGATAAATAACATTTACTGTAATGATTAATTTACTCTCATTATGGAGGGTAAAAAAGACGACAGTTGAACTGCAGCAGATTTTTGCAGTATACAGTCTATGATAATCAAAGTTACCACAGTTAGTGCCCTCAGCAGCTGAGCCCTCGTTCATGACCCGGTCCCTCCTGTAAGCCCGGAAACACTCCACCAGGTTGTTATACACACTGCTGAGTCTCTGTGTCCTCTGGGGACGCGCTACAGGGTTGTTCCTGCCACTGAAACACACAACATCAATGTAGGAATACACCATAACTGTTTACAACACACAACAACAATGTAGAACATACACCATTACTGTTTACAACACACAACAACAATGTAGGGGATACACCATTACTGTATACAACATACAACATCAATGTAGGAGATACACCATTACTGTATACAACACACATCAATGTAGGAGATACACCATTACTGTATACAACGCACAACATCAATGTAGGGGATACACAATTACTGTATACAACACACAACATCGAGGTAGGACATACACGATACACCATAACTGTATACAACACACAACAACAATGTAGTGGATACACCATTACTGTATACAACATACAACATCAATGTAGGAGCTACACCATTACTGTATACAACACACAACTACAACACACAACATCAATGTAGGGGATACCCCATTACTGTATACAACACACAACAGCGATGTAGGACATACACGATACACCATAACTGTATACAACACACAACAACAATGTAGTGGATACACCATTACTGTATACAACACACAACTACAACACACAACATCAATGTAGGGGATACACCATTACTGTATACAACACACAACAACAATGTAGGGGATACACCATTACTGTATACAACACACAACATCGATGTAGGACATACACGATACACCATAACTGTATACAACACACAACATCGATGTAGGACATACACGATACACCATAACTGTATACAACACACAACAACAATGTAGGGGATACACCATTACTGTATACAACACACATCAATGTAGGAGATACACCATTACTGTATACAACACACAACATCAATGTAAGTCATACAATATTTGTATAAACGACACACATCAATTTACAAGGACTACACACATAACATCAATGTATGCTATATAACTTTATGTTTAGAGTTACCTGAAAATGTTTTTGAAAAATACCAACTTACTCACATTTTTTCCTAGATATAACCCAAACAAACCTTTTTATTGTTCAAATTACATACATTACAACACAAAGCCTGTCTAGGGGAGAAAGAACATTAGGGCTGTTTTCGTTTAAACGGTCAAACCGGTCGGACAACACAGTTGTTCGTTTATTAAATAAGGTTGGACCTAGTAATCTGATGCGACTTTCAGGCGAACCTTGACAAAGCCTTGCAAAGCCTGCATAAACATTTGCAGGTTCGTCAGGATTCATACCTGAAATTCTTACATTTATAAACAGCAAACCGGTTGTTCCGCATAAACGAACAGGCCCTAGTACTTTTTATCCCTCAGATTAATGAGGTCATTTTTTACTGTTGAAATTCACTCCCAGTTGATCATTTGTGAAATTGCAGTATAGGTGTGGGCACTTTTAATGATTTATTTTGAAATTTAACATGTTCTGTTTTGTAAACATTTATTTTTTATTTTTTTCAATTTATTCCTAAACATCATTTCCAGAGCATTAGAGCCTTGGTTGCCTTGTTGGGTAGTATTACCTTATATAAACACATAGTTTAGTTCAATACTACGGAGAAAGCAAATAACAATTTGTTTGAGCCATAGATATCTGAAGAATAGAAGTGTCCTTTGGTCTAGGTGAGAACTTACTTGATGAACGAGATCCTCGAGTTGGCCTGCTGTACCATTGTGTTGTTGGCTATACCTGTGTAAAGGTAATGGCCGACCGAGTCAAATCGCACCAGTCTGTAGAAAGGAATATAAAAACAGTAATATGACAAACAATCTACAGGCACACTATGATCAGTCGAATTGTACCTGTCTTTAGGTATAAAATAAGCATTTATACCTCAAAAATTAACGTGTACATGTACATCTTGACAGATGACAGACTGTCAAACAGCCTCTTTTGTATTTCCTGGCAACAATAATTCAGTATCACATCTGTTAAAGGACTACTATTAAAGTAGCAGTATTTTTTTGCTGATTTTACATTCTGCAGAAAAAAATTACTCAGCAAAAGTCCAAGTCTTAACAACTTACCTGATTCTCTCGTACTCGTGTAGCGTCTGACAGCAGGCAAATGGTTCTGTTTGGTTCCAGTCCCAGAAATAAATTTTGTTACCAACAGCAAACACCAGCACGTGATCAATAGGGTGAAAGGTCATGGAGGCGATCACCAGGCTGTCCTTGCATCGCCATACCTCACTACCTCCTCCCTGATATAGAGGACACGAGTCATTAAACTATACGCCCGGTCACAAACCAGAGTACATTCTCAAACATATGCCCTGTCACAAACCAGGGTACATTCTCAAACATACGCCCTGTCACAAACCAGAGTACATTCTCAATCATACGCCCTGTCACAAACCAGAGTACATTCTCAAACATACGCCCTGTCACAAACCAGAGTACATTCTCAAACATACGCCCTGTCACAAACCAGAGTACATTCACAAACATACGCCCTGTCACAAACCAGAGTACATTCTCAAACATACGCCCTGTCCAAAACGGAGTACATTCACAAACATACGCCCTTACGCCCTGTAAAAAATGGAGTACATTCACAAACATACGCCCTGTAACAAACTGGAGTACTTTCACAAACATACGCCCTGTCACAAACACAAAGCTAAGGCTTACTACTTCCTCGAAAGTAAATGGTACAATTTTTATAATTACATACATATATATATATTCAGTGACCTCATTAGTGAAATATAGGTGTCATAAGTAACTCTGTTACACACACATAAAATAAATTTACAATACATACTGGTATGATCAACAGAAACTGATCACAGGAAAATCAAAGTGCCAGCTATCTCTAATTATATAATTTTGAAGTGACATAGTTAGCATTCATTTCGCCTATTGCTTCCACATATGCGAAAATTAAGCTGAAATAGCTTATATTCTTCAAACCAATCTGAATGAAGCAATGATTTCAACAAAGGTTTATAATGATTTTGAAATATTATATACACATTTTATCTACAGACGGCTGATCCAAGTCTACCATTTGGATTTTTCTTAGAAAAGTTATACACTTGTTGTAAAGGCCTACCTGTAAATCCCATATCCTGACCTCCCCTGCCAAACAGCCGGAGGCAAGGATCTGATCGGACGAGGGATGGAAGGCTAGGCACCATGGTGTACGAGGATGGCCAGATAGGATGTGAGTACATTTACCAGTGGACAGCTCGGTCACTCGTACTGTGTGGTCACCGTGAGTGGACGCCACCTTTGTCCTGTAATAAGTAAAGATATGTAGTTATAGTTCTTTCAATAACATTTTAAAATGAACAAGGTAGGTATTGCAAGGCAATCAATAATCCCCCACCAATAATGATTTCTTTATAAAGCGAGCTGTTCTCCTATTTTAGGAAATAGGTCACATACTTTTTGTACTTTGCACTCTGACAGCCGAGACATACTTGCATACTAAATCTGGTTACTCGAGGGAAACAGTATAGAAGCTAGGCCCCAGACAATTTTGTTTCAAAGGTTAAGGTTAAAGGTCAAAGAATAGGCCACAGTGACCTTCTTTTTGTGCTTGACACTCTACCATCCGAACATGTACTTGTACTCCAGGTAAAATAGTATAGAAGATATGACCAGTACTGGAAAATTATTCAAAGGTTGAAGTCAAATGTCAAAATATAGGTCACAGTGACCTACTTTTTGTACTTGATACACCACCGTTCTAAGATATACTTGCATACCAAATCTGGTTACTTGATGTCTACATGTTTCGACTGCTATGGGTCCTGATGATGGCTGCATAGCAGTCGAAACATGTATACAACAAAGCTGTTCTTGTGGTGTCGAGAATCCCTTTATTTCCCATTATGTTTCTATAGTAAGGATCACTAGTAAATCCCCTGTGGATCCACCCGAGACCACTACCACATTTTCTACATAAGGAGTGTTGTATCTCTCTTTTCCCCTATTTTCTTTATCATCAGGTGAAACAGTATTGAAGATAATTGATATGTCCCAAACAATCATTTTCAAAGGACCAAAGTATAGGCCAGTGACCTACCTTTTTTACTTGACACTCAGTCATATGGCTACTTGAGGTGGTGAAATAGTATAGAAGTTCAGCCCTGGACAAAATTTTGGCTGTGATATGGGTTGCTTTTAAAGACTTATTAGGGTTAAGCATCCTTCTTTTGAGCTGTGACCATATGTGATGACGTAAATGTATATATCTGATTTTGATGAGATAAATTTTGAAAGGATTCCCATATTGATTTTGTGGTAACAGTGTGGTATATGATTGTTGATCCTACTACAGTTAAAAAATCTTAGTCGATGATTGAAAACATCAAATTACTAAATGACTTGGTAAATTGGAGGCAATGTGGTCTAGTGGTAGGACGCCAGGCTCATGACCGAAGGGTTGCAAGTTCGACTCACGTCACAGCACTGTGTTGTATCTTTGAGCAAGATACTTTACTCCGCTTGTTCCAGTTTACTCAGCTGTAAATGAGTACATGGTTGGGCAGTGCTAGAATTCCAGAATGCTAGCTGTGAGCGCTGAAATGGCAGCATCGGCTGTATGCTCCCGAGGGAGTTGAGAAAGATATTGGCTGGTTGCAAAGTCCCTATAACCTCCGATAATTAATTTGTGAACCGCTTTGAGACGACCTACGAACTAGGTTGTGATAAAGCTGTATATAAGAACCTCACATTATTATTATTATTATTAAATATCCCATGCCTGATATTGATGATACTCAGCATGTACTTCAGAAACAAGTAGGATATCTGTCCTGATCTAATACTATTAACAGTACATGTATATACATATTTATTATATAAATACCAAGTTAAACACAAAAGGAAAAGGAGAATAACATATTTATTGTCTTCAGGATGATTATGCGTAGACTTATTAACCCTTCACCACTGTAAACCATAATGGACTCATCCAGATCAATGCATGGTAGAGTTTACTAAAGTTAAATAGGGGTGAAAAGGTTAATCTTCCCAGTAAATAGTTCAGTCACCTTCATGTGTAGTACCCGGTAGGTGATAATACAGCCACCTTCATTTCCAGTAAAAATTCTAGCCACCTTCACATCTAGCCGCTTTTATTCATATTTACAATGTACATATATCATGATAAATAACCATATAAACCTATAATCTATATCATTTTTATATGCACTTTAAGATTGTTTTTGTGTGTGTGTAACCTTTAGAGAAGCTAAGACATTTCAAGATTAAAAAAGATAGTTTTTTTCTCTCACAGAAACAAAATGTGAATCATATAAATCTGGGACACAGTCTACCCCAAGTTTACAGAACTCTGTTAAATAAACAGCGAAAACATATTTATGATTGACAACTTGACATTTGTACATGTATATGTCCAGATCGTGGAATCCTAACTTTTTAAACACACAAAAACCACGGCAGAGCAATATGACTGGGGTCAGTCTAACATTGAGGGATTATATATATGTCTGACCACTGATTATATTTACTGTCATTAGGTTTCGGATTATAAAATACATAAAGTAGAAAAACACTTCTGCATTCAACCATAGGTCAGATATATATGTCAACTAAAGAATGAGATTTTTCTTTCTTTTCTTCTTTTTCTCTTAAGCTTGCCTCTTTTTAATTTCTTCTTTCTCTCTTGCCTCTTTTCAATTCCTATTGTCTATCGACATTTGGACACCGACATTAAATGTTTTTCTGTGAAGCCTTGAAAGAGGTTTTAGTGTTGATCGGTCATTAAGAGCTACCGACCAATGACAGGCTTACTTGGTCAGTTGATATTATCGCCACCAGTGAAAGGCTAATCTCATCCTCAAACACATTAACTGTGCATTACTGACCTGACAACTGCAGTTGAAAAGTTGAAGAGCGAATTAAATGTCAAACACACAAAACTGTGCATATTATAATAGTGACCGGGCAACTGCAGTTGAAAAGTTTAGAAACAAATGATACATGTCAGTCCATATGTTGGGGTGAGGGGGAAAGTGAGAATGACAAAGAAGGGAGGGGCATGCGCATGAGGCAGGAATGTGATGAGTAATTTAAAAGAAGAGGGAGAAAATTAAAGAAGGCTTAAAAAGAGAAAGGAGCAGTGGAAAGAAAGAATAACAGGCAAGGAAGGGAAAACAGGGAGGGAGGAATAAAAGCATTATGGGAAATAAATATAAATATAAAGGGATGGAAAAAATGGAAAGAGAGAAAGTTATATATATAATTAGAGATAATAAAAGATCGGAAGACAAGGATGAAAGGGAGATGGAAGGTTACAAATGGAGGGGATATTGGAGAAAAATAGAATGGCAATAGGAAAAAGGAAAAGTATGAAAACGGGAGTGTGGTAAGATAAAAGGAGAGCGTATGAGAAGGAGAAGGTAAGAAATAGAAGGATGCTAGAGTAAGTAGCGGATAGGAAGGATAGAAGTGGACAGGAAGGGGGAGAAGAGGACAGTAAGGGGGAGAAGTGGACAGAAAGGTGGAGAAGCTGATAGAGAGGGAGAGAAGTTGATAGGGAGGGGGAGAAGTGGACAGGGAGGGGGAGAAGTTGATAGGGAGGGAGAAAATGAAAGAGAGGGAGAGAAGTTGATAGGGAGGGGGAGAAGTTGATAGGGAGGGAGAAAATGAAAGAGAAGGAGAGAAGTTGATAGGGAGGGGGAGAAGTGGACAGGGAGGGGGAGAAGTTGATAGGGAGGGAGAAAATGAAAGAGAGGGAGAGAAGTTGATAGGGAGGGGGAGAGATGGACAGGGAAGGGGAGAGATGGACAGGGAGGGGGAGAAGATGATAGGGACGGAGAGAAAATGATAGGGAGTGGGAGAGGTTGATAGGGAGGGAGAGAAGCTGATAGGGAGGGGGAGAAGTGGACAGGGATGGGGAAAAGTTGACAGGGAGGGGGAGAAGTTGACAGGAAGGGTGAGAAATTGATAGGGAGGGGGAGAAGTTGACAGGGAGGGGGAGAAATGGACAGGGAAGGGGAGAGATGGACAGGAAGGGGAAGAAGTGGATATAAGGGGGAGAAGTTGACAGGGAGGGAGAGTATTTAACAGGGAGGGGGAGAAGTTGATTGGGAGGGGGAGAAGTTGACGGGATGGGGGAGGGGAGAAGTTGACGGGATGGGGGAGGGGAGAAGTTGACAGATAGAAGAAGTGGATATAAGTGGGAGAAGTTGACAGGGAGGGGGAGAAGTTCACGGGGAGGGGAAGGGGAGGAAATTTACGGGGAGGGGAAGGGGAGGAAATTTACGGGGAGGGGAAGGGGAAAAGTGGATATAGGGGGAGAAGTTGACAGGGAGGGGGAGAAGTTGACAGGGAGAAGGGGAAGAGCCAGGAAGTGATAAAGAATGCTCGTCTTGTCCATCCTGGTACAATAACTGTCACACATTGCTAACTCAATGATCAACATATTCAGTGGAGGCGATGACAGGTCAGATTGAATTAGCACCATCAGACTTGGAGTGGGTTCATAAGTTTATCTGGTATCTCAACCCCAGCATTAGTCCTCGGTGATATGGCTGATGCTAGATAGCAAGGGGAGGACACAACCCCAGCATTAGTCCTCGGGGATATGGCTGATGATAGGATAGCAGGGGGGGGACACAACCCCAGCATTAGTCCTAGGGGATATGGCTGCTGATAGGATAGCAGGGGGAGGACACAACCCCAGCATTAGTCCTGGGGGATATGGCTGATGATAGGATAACAGGGGGAGGACACAACCCCAGTATTAGTCTTAGGGGATATGGCTGATGATAGGATAGCAGGGGGAGGACACAACCCCAGCATTAGTCCTAGGGGATATGGCTGATGATAGGATAACAGGGTGAGGACACAACCCCAGTATTAGTCTTAGGGGATATGGCTGATGATAGGATAGCAGGGGGATGACACAACCCCAGCATTAGTCCTAGGGGATATGGCTGCTGATAGGATAGCAGGGGGAGGACACAACCTCAGTATTAGTCCTAGGTGATATGGCTGATGATAGGATAACAGGGGGAGGACACAACCTCAGCATTAGTCTTAGGGGATATGGCTGATGATAGGATAACAGGGGGAGGACACAACCTCAGTATTAGTCCTAGGGGATATGGCTGATGATAGGATANGAGGGAGAAAATGAAAGAGAGGGAGAGAAGTTGATAGGGAGGGGGAGAAGTGGACAGGGAGGGGGAGAAGTTGATAGGGAGGGAGAAAATGAAAGAGAGGGAGAGAAGTTGATAGGGAGGGGGAGAAGTTGATAGGG